CTGGAGCTGCTGCGCAGGCTGAAGAAGCAGAACACGGCCCCTGGGGGGCTGCCGCTCGAGGTGCTGGCGGAGGTGCGTGCGCCTAGAGGGCAATCGGAGGGTGGCACTGGCACACAAGGCTGCGAAGCTGATGCCACCGAGCGACCACGTGCACAGGTGTGCGTGAGCTGGGCGTGGTGGCACATGCTTGTGGTCCCAACACTCAGGAGGCTGAGGCAGGATTGCCTCAGGTTCAAGGCCGGCTCTGGCTACGTAGCTCAAGGCCAGCCTGGAATACATAGTGGGGAGAACTCTCAAAAACTCTTTAAAAACAGTGCAAATGCGAATGTCTATGATTACATTGGTGTGTAATCGTGTGCAAGCGTGTGTGGTTGAGACCAGCAGGACTGTGCACACACGGGTGTGTTCTGGGCCAGGAGCTAGAGGGTGGGGCCCAGGTCCAAGGCAGGTCCCAGCCTTGGGGGCTTTCCCTGCCCGGGAGGACCAGTGAGCTGCCCCCACGGACACTCGGGAGTGCTTCCAGCAGGCACAGCAGCTCTGGGACGTGTCTCTGCCTCTCCTGCAGGCCCAGTCTCAGAGTCACCCTCCTCCCAGCTCTAACGGGGAAGGGCTCGAGGGAACCTTGGCAGTGGCCAAAGCCCCGGGCACCTGGATGACCATGCCGCTGTCTGGGGCGGGGCTGGAGTTCACGGAGCGGCCCGAGGTGGTCCGGCGGGACAGCGCCCCTGCCGAGAGCCGGTCCGCCAAGAGCGAAGTGCCCATCCAGCTGCTCAGCGCCACCAATCAGATCCAGAGGCAGACGGCCGTACAGCAGCAGATCCCCACCAAGCTGGCCGCCTCCACCAAGGGTGGAAAGGACAAAGGTGGCAAGAGCCGGGGTTCCCAGCGCTGGGAGAGCTCAGGTGAGCCTGGTCCTGAGGGTCCCCCCCCCAGAGGTGGGCGGTCCTGGGCGGCCCAGCCTCAGGCACTCTCGGGACAGAAAGAACACTTGTGCTACCTGGAGAGGGCGCTGGAGGACAAGCAGGCAAGAGCTGGCGGTGTGGTGGGGGCCGCCCCTCGGCCCTGTCTCCAGGCGCAATGGAAATGACTGACTCATGCCCTCCCCTGCCAGGGGCCCCTCATGCCGGCGTGGGCCCCAGGATGGCCGGGGCAGCCTGGATCTTGTGGCCACTGAGCTTAGGGTGACAGGAAAGGTGTTTCTGTGGGAGCCGCGTCCTCCTTTGCCTGATGTCGAGCGACTGGGACCCCCAAGGTCATCCCACTGCCTGTGGGGACTTCAGGGTGTCGCTGGCTCCCAAGGCCTGAGCGCCTTCCCTCTTCCAGGCTCTTTTGACCTGAAGCAGCAGCTGCTGCTTACCAAGTTCATGGGCAAGGAGGAGAACACCGCCAAGAACCGCCGGTCGGCGAGCCCTGTGCTGCCCAGCAGCCACAGCTCCGTGCCTGCCCCAGGTATGCCCAGTTGCCGAGCTGCGGGGCTGCCCCGGAGCCCTCCCAGCATCTGACACCCAGCCCCTGTCTTCCAGACCCCTGCTTCCCAGCCCCGAGCCCGGCGCCAGCCGACAGCTCCCCTGAGGCCTTCTTTTTCAAGGCTGGGGCCACCTTCCCGCCCATTGCCCCGTGTCCCTCGCCCCTGCCAGCCACGCCTCTCAGCACCACTAAAGAAGCCAGCAAGGAAGACGTCATCTTCTTCTAAGGGGCAGTGGCTCCAGGTGCAGGCCCCTCCCCTTCCTGCCCTCTGTGTCTCCGGGGACCCCGTATAGGGTGACCACCAGCCCAGCTGTCCCCTCCCCTGCCCAAGCACACACCCGGCGGCCACCTGACTGGGTCTGCCTGTTGATGCTTTGGGTCCTGCGGCTCTTTCTGTGCCCCTGGGTAATTCCCTCCACCTGTTTATGTATAAGGATGTGTTTTGTGGAAGGTTGAACCCCAGCTAAGTCAAGGAGCTACTTTAAACCACTGGGTAGGGGAGAGATGGACTCAGCTGGTTTTCCCTGGCAGCAAGGAACAGGGGGTCCCCGTGGGGCTGGGGGACAGGCCAGGCCTCAGAGCTGCTGGCCCCAGCCAGGCTGCGCAGCCCCCCGGGATTCATGAGGTCACTGGAAGGGGCCAGGCGGGACCCCTGCTGGTCATGCAGAAGCCAGCCAGAGGGGCAAGCTGGGGGCCCAGGGTTAGAGGCCACCGGGCAGGGACTGAGGGTGGCCCTCGGTACCCGGGCAGGCAGTGGGCCCGGAAGCTCCCTCTGAAGACAAAGTGGGCATTGCCCAGTGGAGGGGTGACTCTGCTCTGTGGCCCATCTAGGGTGGGAGCCCCGGCCTTGGGCTTTAGCCAGAGTGGCTTGCACCCGAGGCAGGGTCTGCAGTCCTCCAGGCTGCTTGGAGGAAGTGCCTGGACTCGCTGCCAGCCAGAGGACAGGTGGCCGTTGTGAGCTGCAGCATGGCATGGGGGGTCCGAGGTGTTGGGCGGAGCAGTGCATGAATGGTCAGATCTGCCCGAATGCTGGCTGCCTGGGGCAGGGAACACCTCAAGACTCACCGCCACCCAGGCCACCCGAGTCCCCTCCTGAGGTGGTGGCAGCAGGACCCAGCCCTGGGCTGGTGGTTCCTGCTCCCAGAGGGGTGGCACTGGGCCCCAGCCAGGGCCAGGTCACTCCCAAAGCCAGCAGGGACCTGGGGACAGCCCGTCAGCCCTGTAGGCAGGGCCTGTGTGCCACGGCCCGGGAGGGGAGGTTACCAGATGGGTGAGGCTCGGCCAGTGGCCTGGCGTCCCCACCCCGTCATCACCCAGCGTCGCCCGCCCTGGGCCCTTCCCACCAGCAGCGCACTCAGTGTCCCAGCAGCTAGCAGGTCTCGTGCGTGCCATGCCCTCGTCAGTGTTGTGTATTTTTGTACTGAGATGTTCGGAGCACTTTAGAAAAGCTGGCTTTGAGTTCCGCTCTGTTGTGAAGAGGAAGTTCACGGTGCCCCCAGCCTCAGTTCTGCCCCACGCGGTGGGGGTTGGCGCTGGGGGGCGGCGGGGGCCCAGGCCACTCCTGGAGAGCCAGGTTTCATCTGCAGAATTGGTGGCCGAGCTCTGCGCCTGTGGGGTCTGTAGGTGTCACCATCGTCTGCCGTGACCCTGCTCTTAGCACCTGGCAGTTCCCTCTCCAGTGACGACATTTCCTCACCACGGGTTATTTCGGGAACACCCAGAACTTCAGACCGGATCCTAGCAATAAAAGTGTCTGAGATGACCTCTGGTGGACGTGGATGTCCTTTGGGGCTCCGGGGTGGGGACCACTGAGCTGGGACACAACAGCCTACAGGCCGAGCTGCTCTGGTCACTGTGGGCAGCGGTGGGGAGGGGACTGGTGATGGCTACAGGGTGAGAGTGTTCTTCTTAGGGTGGTGACGGCAGCAGGGCTGGGTACGGGGTCACCACTGACTTCGCCCTAAGTGGTGTGTGGTGGTGATCTGTGTTTCTCAATCCACCTTCAAGGGCTGGGGTGTGACTCAGGTCCAGAGCATGTACTTAGCGCCTGTGTGATGCCCTGGGCTCATTCCCCAGCACCGAAAGAAAAACAACTTAAAAACACACACACACAAGCCTGCCTCGAGTCTGACTGCCACCTGGGCAACTGAGGGAGACCCTGTCTCAAGCTGGGCTGGGGAAGTCAGTCAGTGGCAGGGCGCCCCTGGGTTCAAACCCCAGTATTAAACACACACGTGGGCTGGGGGGTGGTCCCCCTCTTGGAAGCACACCCTCTTTGTGCTCACCGCCCAAGCCCTTCCAGCCCCAGACTCCGCCCCCACGTGGTGGCTGCTCCTCCCTCGGGGGCCAGACCAGGTGCCCAGGCGGCTTCCCACAGGGCCACCGTCAGGTCCCCACCCAGCCTGACCGGTGTCCCTGGGAGCAGGGCCCCCCACGCAGGCCTGGAGAAGGGGACAGCGTGGCCCACTGGGGATGTCCCTGTGGCACCCGCAGCCACCAGACATCTCCCCCTGAAGCAAAGCCATGTGTCTGGTATCACGCGAGGCTCCGGCCACTGCACACACCTAGGCCAGCGTGTCCCAGCCTACTGTGCTGCGATGGGAGCCACGTGAGTCTTCAGACCAACGAGGGTGTGTGTGGCCCAGACCAGCCTGGGGACCACGAAATGCTCGGTGGCGCTGGGCGGCATGGCAGTCCTGACCCCAAGGCACTTGCTGCTGCAGGGGGCAAGTATGTGAGGCCAGCACGGGCCCAGTGCCCAGGGGGAGAAGACCGGGAAGCTGCTGGGGTCGGGGAGGCGGCCCCTGGGGGTCCTGACAGCACATCGGGGTGCAGGGGCCTGGGTGAATGACAGGCAGGCAGCGCCAGCACCAGCACCAGCACCAGCACCAGATTTTTAATGGATTGTCTCCGCTCCCTCCAGGCCCAGCGGAGGCGGATGTGTCCCCTGGTCCCCAGCTCCCTGCCAGCCTGGGGGAGCAGGGAGGGAGCCGGTTCGCACTCCCCACCAAGGCAGCAGGGCAGGGCCTGGCCTGCTCACACCAGCCCCTCTCCCCTCCAGCCTCGAGGTTGCTCCAGGAAACACCAGCCCCTGGCCTGCTCCACGGGGTTGGCGGGAAGGGACCCTCAGTCGGCCCGCCTGTGTCCTCCTGCTCCCCAGCCAGAGTCAGGGGCTGTCGGCCTCAGCCTGGCCGTCAGCCCGGGCTGCCTGGTAGAGGCTGAGCAGGGAGGAGATGGTGCCCATGAGGCCGACCAGCCACGGGGGGAACCGGCCGGCCCACAGCACACCTGGGGGCAGCCAGTGCACGGCGTTGGCCAGGTCGGCCAGGTTGCCAAGCAGCGTCA